TGTTCTTAATGTTCCTTTCCTATTCAATAATAACAGATGGTTTGGCCAATGATACAACTTTGTAAGCTGCTCAAGTGGTGTCACAAACAGAGACAGGAGAATAAGCAGCATCTGTCCTCTTTACATTGCCTTTACAGTCATCTTAGTAGCATGCCCTTAAGCCACAGGTACAGCCTACAGTACCTTTGGTTCACTCCTCCGCCTGCTTTCATCTACAGATGGACCATTTTCTGTGTCCTCTACTCTTAAAGGCACTCACAAACTCAGAAGGTTCTATCTAGACATGCTGTGTTTCTTTGTAAGTTAAAGTGAAACTCAGGTAACATTTGGAGGTTGATGGTAGTGCTGTTTCATAACCTGCCTCAGATTGATGTTCCTAGCAGGTGCGTCATAACTGCTGTACTTAAACACAGGATGTGGTTTAACTAAATATAACATCGGTGGGGGACCATGTCAAGCTATCTTGTCCAAAGTCCACGCAAGAATGTGAGCTAGCTTGAGTATGTCTGAATGTAAAAAGAGAATATCTTTGAGAACAACTGAAACAGAGGTGATTTTGGAACATCTTAACCATGCATTTACCAAGAAAAGTCTAAAAAGGCGTAGAGATAAAGGCCTTAAGAATTATAAAGTCACAAATTTAACAAATAAATACGTCTAACAACAATGTTTACTAAAGACAACATTTTATGTTGAACTTACGCTCACATGTTGAGGTTAATCTCACACAGGAATAGCAGTGTCATTTTTAGAAAAAAATAAAAATAAAAAGTTTAAAGGTGAAAGTGGATTCATTAAATGTAATACTCCTTAAAGCCCTAAGGCAGCATTAATGTCAAATCTAAAGCCAACATCACATCAGAAAACAGGTGAGAGGAAATCCCTGGGAAATGGGTCGAAGTAAAATGCTTTGCATGTCATTATCCTGAGTCGTTAGGATATGATTTTTATTTGTCTCCATACTTTCAGCATTTCCTTGTTTTTTTCAATGTTGTTTTTACTGGTCTTGTCATACACTTTTGTTATTTGTTTCTTTTTTCATATCAAGAAATTTTTCTGCTCATTTGTTTGTTGTTTTACATGTAGGTGCACTCATTTGACGTCAACTCACTAGTTTATATTTGGGTTCCTTATACTCTGAGCCATTTCTGTTAAGTGACTGTTTCACATTTTGCCTGGGCTTTATGTGTTTGTGTTTCTACTCTGTACATGTTGATTTCTCACCCTAAATTTTCTTTAACCTTTTCTATGGCCCAGATGCCTATCATGACATAAGATTAGCCCTTCTGTCAAGTTTTGTATGCATTTGCTGCTGCAATCAATGTGGATCACAAACAGATCAAGACAATCTATGGATGGAAGGCTTTTGAGCTTCATGGTGAAGAAAGGTGGCTATATTGGTCACTGATTTGTTTTTGTTTTGGTTTTTGAATGTCGCAAATGTTTATTTCTGAATTTTGAATTGTTATATTGGTTTACCTGGTGAAAATAAACAAGTGAGATGGGTATATATTTGTTTTTTATTACGTTACCTAATAATTCTGCACAGTAATATTTAAATGCAATCACAGACATCCTCATAAAATGGCCAAATCTGAAAAAAACACACATCAACTTCCAAAAATATGAAACTTTGATATTAAGGAGTATTTTGGGTTGACCGAGAACACAATTGTGGCCCAATAATAAAAATAATCCTCAAAAATACAACTTGCCTAATAATTCTGAACACAGTGTATTAAATTTTGTACCTTAGCCTTTGTTTGCAATTACAGAGTTCAAATATTTCCTGTAGATTTTCACCTGTTTCGCACGCATTGCAAGAGGTATTTTGGCACACTTCTCACAAAGTTCTTGTCAGTCAGGTTTAACAGAGCGTACTTTATAGTGCAATCGGTTAACTGACCGTTGAAAAACGACTGCAAAGAACCAGACTGTAACTACAGCCTCAGCATACATTGCTGCTCTGACATCCCAACAGAGGCTATAAAAGAGTGTTGCATGCACTGCCAAAAGATCTTTTGTATAAAGAACAGTTTCCTCTTTGTAGAGTATGGCAAAACACAAAGCAAATTGCAAGATTGCTGACAAAGCTTCGACTTGCACCTTTGCTAGCTGAAATTTTTAATCAGCTGTCCTGTAACATTTAGATTGACTCAAATTTTTTTTTTTAACATCAATGAGATTCACATTTGCATAGCATAAGAAACTCAAATCTATAGTTCAGAACTATGTGGACCTTCTTTGTCATAAGTTTGTTTTGTTTTCTCTTACAACCAACAGCAGGCTGGCCTCCTTTAGGTATCTTTAGTGTTTGGCAGATCAACAACGAGTGTGATTTCATTCCTGTCTAATTTCACGCGACACAGATTTGAGACCATGTCCGATAAAAAAAAAAAAAAAGAAAAATGGTTTTCCCCTGCCACCCTTAAAATATTGCTGCATTTGCTGGCTGCGGTGACAGAGTTGGACGGACAAATGTTGAGGCAATTGCCAGCACTACATTTTAATATGCATTGAAGAAATTTTGCATCCACTACATTTTTATTAAGTATACATTCAGACATTTGTCCATGATCCCTATAGAGTGCTCTATATAGAGGTTAAGGCAGAGGTTCGAACACAGCCATCCTCCACATCGGTTAAGCTACATGCTGTATCTCCATGCTCAAAAATACTGCAGTCGCAAAAGAAGTACAGCGTACAGGAAATCTGAAGAGCTTTATGCTGGTATGTACAACATACAGTATATCATTGATAAGTGAACCAGTATGAGAGATTACTCTTGGTGTTAAAATAAATGTAAAGCACTCCAGTTATCTAATCAATGTATTTATTCCATAACTGAATGGTATGCAGTGACACACTCAAGGTGTATAAAAAATGTACAAAGTCTTAACAGATTACTGTAATTGAGTAGTTTTGTAATTACCTTCTCATAGACTCTCTCTTATAGACCTACTCGCTCTCTCAGGTCAGCTACTCCTGAGAGAGCTGACCAGCAGAGGGGGTCAAGCTTACACTGTTGCAGCTTCAAAGCTCTGGAATAACCTGCCTCAGCACATCAGACAGGCCTCTTCTCTGACTGTCTTTAAATCTCTTGTCAAATCCAAACTTTTCTCTTTGGTATTTAAACATCTAGCAAAAGAGTGGCCTTTAACCTAATTGTGTGAATGTTTTTACTGTCTTATTTTATGTTTCATTTATTTATTTATTTATTTTTTTCTGTACATCACATTGGTCAGATGTGGTTGTTTTCTTTTAATTCAAATTGTATTGGAAGTTAACGCATGGTTGACCAATTATACAAAATTTACAGGCAAGGTTTAGCTACTCTAATATGTCTGTGTATTTTTGTTTTATATTTCAAAGAACTACACAGTGAGACACACACACATATTTTTTGTCACCCCATCCTTGTGGGGATTTTCCTTGACTTCCATTCATTTCCCACTAATACCTATGGCATAACCCAGACGCTTACCCTAACCTTAACAATTACCAACATCTACCTCACTCTCTACCTAACCTAAATTCAATTCATATCTGTCCTAAACCTAACCCAATAAGAGAGCCTTTGCTCATGGGGACAAGTCAATGGTTCCTATAATCCAAAAAATGTAGCTTATTCTTGGGAAATTGTCTCCACCAGGTATCAAATACATAGCCACATTATTAGGGCCAAACCAAAACTGACCGTAACCATTGCAAGCATATACCTCATCCTAACCTAAACAGAATTTAAACTCCTTAGACCTGAACCTAACCCCGAAACCCAAGAAGAGAACTTTTCCTCACAGGGACAAGCTTAGTGGTCCCCATAAGTACCTATATGTCTCCATAATACTTTATAAAGGACAGAAAAAACAATGATCAAAATCCATACAGAAAAACATTAAGTGTTTATTAATCAACGATTCAATACATCAACTGAAATAAAAGTGTCAAGCTCTTCAAAATAATCATTATCACCCACAATTGATTTATGAGAAGGTGGTCAGCCCACTGGGGGGTGACCTCATGTCACTCTTTCTTGCTGGGCCTTATTGGGTTCCGAGAAGAAGAAGCTGACCAGCGAGCGCTTGCCGGAAAATTACCAGGCAATGTCATGTGCCTGGATTGATTCACCTTCATAAGAACTTTTTGAACTGCTTCTTGTCTGACCCATCACCAAGAGCAATTTTGCCTTGGCAGCCATGTTCCCTATAATTTTCCATGTGTCTGGGCAAACACACATGCTCCCTGCGTGCACAAAGAACCACTGTGAGCAATATCAGATGTGAATGCTGGGGCAAAAGTTACATGGTTTATTAAAAGAGTAAGGCACTACAGTAGCAATTTACATTGGTTTTCTTTTATTGTATTTTAATATAATTTTACTAAGTGATTTGGCCCACTTAAAATAAAAAAAAAAAGTGTAATATGTTGTATATAGGCTTAGAGTAAGAGTCCTACTGTACTTTGGCCAGGACATAACCTTGTTCAAAATGATACTGTATGTGTATTGAAGCTTGTGATACAGTGTAAATTCTTCTAACTATGTCAAATATTTAATTACAGTTCTTCAGCATTTTTACTAACAATAATTATAAAATAGTATACGCATTTCATGGTTAAATTTAATAAATCTAGCATTTGTTGTTACCTGTTGAAAGAGAAAGACAAATGCATCTATTAACAGAAAGCCTTAAAATTCCGCTAAGGTAGGGGAGACTTTAAACATTCATAGTGTGATAAAAATAAATAAAAAACTCTTATGACAAATATTACGTTTACATGAAATTATGTTCAAATGTTGTTTTTATATGTATTTATGTGTTTTAGATATTACAGAAGAAACATTTTTGTTTATTTGAAAATTTTCAAATTGAAATAGACACATACAAAGAAGTCAAATTATGTCTTAAGTCCTCACAATTGTACACCTTTCACAAAAATGGTCCAAAGTATAAAATATATAACTTCTAAAAATAAAATATAGGACATCCTTAAAATACAAAAAAAGAAAAAAATATGGAGCCCAAAGTAGAATATGTCCTCCTAACTAATGGCATAATTTCATTTAGCAAATGCCATCTTCCATTGCATTGGGTGGCTTATTTACTTTGACTTGTATCTTTCACTTTGACATCAGCATATACAACATCCTCTTCTGCGTTCTCTGTAAAAAAACAAATAAAAAATATTTGCTCATAAAAAGTCCATATTTAAGATTATCTGTAACAACAATTTTCAAATACGTTTTTAAACATTTCAGTTACCTTCATTTGGTGCCATTGATTTTCTCCTTTTACAAAGTTTAATATAAAGGAAACTCCAAAGCGCAGATAAAACAACAGCAGAACCAGCTAGCACAGGCACAGTAGTCTGGATAAGAGCATTATCAAAACCTGGATAATACAAGGAACAAATCAATAGTACCGGTAAATATATGCTGCCCAATTACAAAAGTCTCCATTTTTTAAAGCTGTTAGAATAAGATAAATTTTGTATTTATTTGACCTGCATAAGCTCCTATGAACAAAGTTTTGTGTTTCTAAAGTAAAAGCAAATTGTGATAAGACAAGAAGGCATTAAAAATCTCTAGTAAAAAAATACCAAAAACAAAAAACAAATGACCTCTGGCTCACATCTGGAACAATCTTTTCTCATACTTTTTAGTGATCCAATATCAAAGGCATTTAATACATTTGAAATGTTTTCATTCACACACTTGAAGCAACAACTTATATCATACCTTTGCATGATGTTAACTGATAAACTGAATCCTCTCTGCTGACATTATTCCAAACTCGGCACATGAGGCTTCCCGTAAGTTGTCCATGCATGTTGACGCAAATATTTGACACAGCAGATGTTTCACCATTGCAGTTCATGGAACTCCTGTGATCTCTACCTTGTATAAGTGAGTGGCCATTTAAAGCTAGAAAGAACTCTACCTCATCTTCATCAGAATAACATGTGACTGTCTTCTGTTCAGGTGGAAAACACCTTTGAGACACTGTTGGCTTTGACACGGACCCTGTAAATGGAACATAAAGTTATGAATGACTTTAGAATCTCTCTTTCACTGTTTTCCCATGTATGTCACTTGAAATATATGTTCTTTATAAAAGCAAATTTTTATTTATCTGATCAGATTTTGTATCCAGAAATACTGTAATTTCTGGATACATAAATAAATAATTTTTGGTTGTTTATTAGGTATAAATTAATTTTTAAAAAGTCTGCTTGTGACCACTATTTAAGTCACAGAGATTTCCTTTTAATCATTTCTCCCCTTTGTCCCCTTCTTGCTTCTTCTTGCCACACCTGCTCCCAGTTAGTTCATTACTTCATTGCCCAGGATTCTCCTAACCAGTATTTAAGACCCTTATCATTCTTCCACTCAGTGCTAGTTCCTACTGTTTGTTCCCTGTACCCGTGTCTGTGTTCATACAAACTGTATTTTCAAAGTCAATACATTTCTTTTTTTACGGGAAGAAAAAAAAATGACATACCTTGTATTTTTAGGTGAACTTGGGCTCTTCTCATTATTTGTCCATCATCTCTGTATTCTTCAAGGACATATTTTCCAGAATGTTCCTTTGTGGCATTACCCAGTCTGAATGTTCCAGGCTGGATTTGCTCAAACTGATTTACATAGTCCTCATTGAGGGTCACTGACCCATTCTTATCTACCTTTAAAATTCTGTATGTTTCATCCTTTATCAGTCTAATCTCGCCGTGTTGTGCTACTGAAAGATGAAAAATAAGTTGCTGTCCTTTTGTTGCATAACAGTGTTGAGTTTGGATTGAGTCAGTAAATTTGCACTCAACAAAGCCTGTAACAATCAGAGAAAATCTAACATAAGACCAAAAATAATTTCAAAAAATGCTGTAAATACCTCATGTTGTCGTAGATTGCAAACTGTCATTTTCATAATTTCTGAAAAACTTTTAAATTAGCTTTAAGTATAACTTATATATGTAAAAAAAATAAATAAATAAATGATTGTGCCTCCCATTGTACCGAAACAAATGTTTTTGCCCTCCTCTAGCTGTGTGACAAATAAAGTAGCTAAGATACATACACTTCATTAAGCCCAAATTTTATTAAAAAAGCATTTTGAATGAGGCAATATAATCCTAAAAAGTTTTTTTATCCTCTGTAAACCATTACAGTTTACATAAAGAAAGGAGTGAAAACTGGGATCTTTGTGTAATTGATCTATAGAATACATTTCATTTAATGAAATACTAAAATGAATATTTTTTTCTAACAATAATAACATTTTATGAATATGCTTATACATAATTATGTCATAATAGAGAAGCTAAATTTAAGACATGATTTAATGTAAACATGTAATACTTAACCAGAACTTAATTTGAATAACAATAATAATTATAATAACATAATTACCAAAACCTACACTACCATTAAGAACTTAAGAATACCTTTTGCAAGAGCGGTTGTAGCTAAAGCTGTAAAGATCAGGCAGATGGTTATCATTGTTCCTGCAACAAACAAATGTAAACATATAATTAAGATTTTTACTTTTGTTATTGTGACGACATTCTCATAATTTAAATTTGAAATGTGAAATCGATAAAGTTTTATAAAATACATGTTAACTAAAATATGTTGCTTGCAAAGAACCTTGCATTATCGCTTCTACATATCTAGTTTTATATAACAAGTACTTTTTTCCCCTGTACTTACCAACCTTGCAGTGTGTGATACAGACTTTCCTGGTTGAGAGACTTATGAATTTTCTGCAGACGGATGACTGGTTTTATGTTCTTCTTCCCTATGTGAACTTGAGTTATCTGAATCAAGGAAGCAGGTACACTCTATGTTGTTGGGTGCAACTTGACAAAAAACAAAAAAAACTGAGCAGCTTTCTTTCAAGTTGTCAGAAAGTGAGAACAGAACCCATTTCTACTTTCATACATTAAGTGTAAATGTTCCATTGCATTAAATTGTTATTAAGCCATACAAAAATATGAGTGGGGTAAAATAATACATAGCAAGGATCTAGTGTTGTGTGAGGTCAATTATAACACAATCATTTAAGGCAAATATTAATAAATATGAAATCAAAAAAATGCATTTTGAGGCACAAATTACATTTAATATAAAATAATATCTTATATTTTGTTGGTCATCAGCCCATGAACAGCAATATGCAACAATAGATGTGCAGATGGCATTGCTTATATTAAGAGAATATCAATAGCATGGATTCATCTTCCCTCTGATAAACAAAATTCATACATTTTGACACTCAAAAGGAGTATCACGAAGAGTTAAAGTAAGGTGTCTCTACCAACTTTCTTGCAAGTAAGGGAGTAGGAATGAGTTAAACAGAATGATACGTGATATTACTGTCATGTTTGGCTTAAGATTCCTAACCCACATGCAGAACACACTGAGGCTGGAGAAAAGTTCAAAGATTTATTGAAATGATTCCGTACAAAGAATAAACAGATCCAGGGGTTATTCAGATCCAGGACTGGTCACTAGTGGGTTCACTGCAGAGGGGGACAGAGGAGTTAGTGGATGTCCAGGTAATTTGCAGGATGTGAGTGAGCAGGATAGTACCTGTTCAGGAGTTTGAGCTGAGCGGCAGAGGGGGGGAACCAAGAGGGTCCAGAGGCTGTCGGCAGGCTGAGGGCTTGGCGGAGGCAGAGCTAGGTTTGAGCTTTTGCAGATCACAGATTTGAGTATCCCTTCCGATTCTTCCGAGAGCGGGCAGGCAGGTCTTTGACAGGAATTATTCTCCAGGGTTCTTCAGAGATCAGACAGGCAGATTACCGACTGAGAAACTCTTCTGGGTTTCTGGTTTCAGGCAGGTTCAATCGTAACTGGCAAACACTCTGGCCCTGGAGAGACGTCCTCTGTCTCCTTATACAGATCTCCTGATGAGCAGATGAGCGACAGGTGGTAGCAATCAGCTCTGGCTCCAGGAGATCTAGATTATTCTTGTTCTCTCAAGCCAGTGGAGAGACTGTTTTACGAGTGCCTTGGTGTTTCTGATTTCCTGATCCTAAACTGTTCTGCCTGTCAACCACCGAGCCTGCCCATCTGAATGGTTTTTCACGTAATGTCTTTGGAATCCTGTATCTCTGAGCCTTCCTGTTCAAGTTCTGAACTGTTTGCCCAACTTGGCTTTGAATTCCTGGATCTCTGAGCCTGCCTGTTCCTGTTCTGATCTGTTTGCCTCACCTAGCTTCGGACTCCTGTACTTCTGAGCCTTCCTGTTCTGATCTGTTTGCCTGACCTGGCTTTAAATTCCTGCTTGTTCTCTGTTCTCTCAAGCTGCAATGTCTGGGACACTCTGGTGCATGTTGTTGGCAGCCCATCAGTTGGATCCTACCTCATTCTTAGGACACGGGCTGAACTATTAAACAAGGTTGGGAGTCATGCGTAAATATCATCCTCCTTTAGATTTACATGGTAACCACAGAGTTCCCTGTGATTGACACCCTAAACGTTGCTACTTCAATTATCAGTGTTTCAAATAAACGCTTTTGAGTAATCCCATTGTTTGTCTTGCCTGAATTCTGGGTCCTTCTGTTTTGAATTGTGGCAAAATCTAAAAATGTATGTACAGAATTTAAGATGTGTGTAATAATGTGGAATAACACAGGGAAAAAGTGTTGTAAGCATGAAGAGAGGGAGGTGCAAAGAGGCATGGCACAATAAACCAGCTTCAGCTGAAATCTCTCAGTAACCTGCCCCTTGTCAGTGCTAATTAATATCAACTGGTTCAGTCCCAAATGATAGCCTGTAAAAAAAAATCTAAATGTGGGTACAAGTAAAGAGCTCTCTCAATACATTTGCAACCTTATTATTGCAAAGTATGATAGCATTGATTACAAAAGAATTTCTAAACTTCTGAAAGTTCCACCGAGCACTGTTGGGGCCATAATCCAGAAGTGAAAAGAACATAATTTCACCGTATAACAACCATGGCTAGGAGCTCCTTTCAAGATTTCTGCCAGATGAGTGTAAAGAATTATCAGAAGAGTTGTAAAAGAGCCAAAGGCCACTTGTGGAGAGCTCCAGAAAGACCTGGAATTAGTGAATACTATTGTTTCAAAGAAAACAACAAATAATGCACTCAACTGCCATGGTTTGTATACACGCTCACCACACAAGACACTACTGCTGAAGAAAAAGCAGATTTAAGCTCATTTCAAGATTGCTGCACAACATTTAGACAAACATGTGAAATACTGACAGAAAATAATCTGGTAAGATGAGACCAAAACTGAACTCTTTGGTTGCCATAATATACATGATGTTTTGATGTCAAATGGCACTGCACATCATACTAAGAGTGAAGTTTGGAGGTTGGAAGATCATGGTCTGGGGTTGTTTTTCAGCATGGCAAACCTAAAATGTACAGAGATATTCTTGATAAAAATCTGCTGCCATTTACCAGGATGATGAGGATGAAATGTGGGTGGACATTTCAGCAAGTCAATGAACCAAAACAAACAGCCAAGGAAATTGTCAACTGGTTTCAGAGAAAAAAATAGATCTACTAGAAGGGCCAAGCCAATCACCTGACTTGAATGCAATAGAAAATCTATGGAAAGAACTAAAGATCAGAGTTCAGAGAAGAGGCCAACAAAATATTCGAGATTTTAAGACTGTTTGTGTGGAAGAATGGGCCAAAATCAATCCTGAGCAATGCATGCGACTAATTTGTCCATACAGGAGGCATCTTGTAGCTGTCATTGCAAACAAAGGCTTTTGTCCAAAGTGTTAAATAAATTTCAGTAAGTGTTCTCAATACTTTTTCCCTATGCCGTTCCACATTGTCACACATAACTTAATTTCTGGACATCTACAGTTTGATTTATTTGTATGTGTGGTTTGCATGAATTGTTACCAACATCTGGTGACAATGTCATGTAAATATCACCACTTGAAATATATTTACTGAGAAAAATGATTGCATGTTCAACACTTATTTTACCCGCTGTCTCTACATTTAAATGCCTAACCCCACTAGATTTAAAGTTTCCTGTGTATCTATTTTACAGCATACTGAAATGTTCACACAGTTAGCGAGGTGAGACAAAGCTAAACAAAGCAAGAACAGCAGTTAAAAATAACCACAGCTACCTCGTCTACAGTGTCTTTGTTGCAATGTATCAATAGGCAAGCTTCTTGCATTTCAGTCATGCAGCCAACCACACTGTTAGGCATTCTAACCTTATGAGCCAAGAGTTTTATTTGCATACAACTGAACTACTTGTGAAGTAGTTCATTTGCTGCTCTTGTATTTTTATCTTTATACCCTTCCCTTCCATATCTGCTGTTATTTACTTGAATGAAATAAGATCTTAAAGGATTCTCTGTTAGAATTCTCTGTTTAACCAGATAAAGCCAGAATTTAAACCAGAAAGCTGACGTTAATATATCTAGAAATTTGTATTATTTTATTCCTGCAACAAAACTCTTGTGTGTATTTATTTGCACTATTCATTTGATCAACACCAAGTTCACATTTCTAGAGAGAGGCTTTTATATTGTTTGCTGTCTTGGCAAAAGTATTAAGTACAGTGGTTTGACATTAAGACCAAGAAGTTTCCAAGTCAAAAACACTCTCAGTCATCCA